GGGAGCTGTAGCCCGGAGCCGACGGGCTGTGGATGCACGGTGGCAGGATGGGAAGGTCAAAATCAGCCTCCCGAGCTGAGCTGCTGAAGAACAACTGCTGCCGCTTGGCTTCACCGTCTCCAGCATCCCTCGGCATCGCCGGGGCGGCACCGAAATCCCCCACTTGCCTCCAAAGAGTGAGGGAATATTTGATCTTTCCCTTCCTGCATGGCATAGGGCCGCCGTTCCGGCTGCTGCTGGCAGGACGGAGGGCCGGGGTAGCTGCTCGTGCCACCGAAGCGAAGGAGAGCTGGGTGGCACCTGCTGGTTTATGGTAACAACGACCAGGGCAAATTCCCTTCCCCAGCAGCAGCTTTTCTGGTGGTTATTCAGTGGGGCTGCAGGGGAGGAGTTTGTGGAGCTCCACGGAAAGTTTTCCAGACCTGATCTTTATCCCTAAATGATAAACCCAGCACATTTCCTCTTTTCAAGAGCAAACGGAGGCTGAAGGTTGGTCTGGATTTGCCACAGATGGGCGATGGGGTCTGTTGGAGTCACCTGCCACTGCATTTGTCTGAGTTTCATGCCTCGCCGAAGAAGATCGGTTGGATTGCTACCAAACCCAACGGCGCCTGGCACACAGACACCGGGCACTTTGCGAACGGGGCCGGGGCCGAGGGCTTGTGCCGGTGGGAAACCTGCGCGGCAGAGCCGGGCGACCCTGGCACGGCAAGGGAAATAGCCAGGGCCACGGGTGACGTTAGAGAAAATGAATTTTTAATCCCCAGCCTCCCATCCTAAGTAACCTTATAGCCTCCGATGGCCTGGCCAAAGGCGGGGAGCGATGCCAGCGGGCAGGGAGGCGGGGAAATGCCCGCTCGTGTGGAAGCGCGGCAAAGGTCTGACGGATCTGCTCATGTATTTCCCGTTTTGTCTTCCAGCGGAGCTGAGTCCCTCTCTTCAGATGAAAAAGGTACGGTAATTTTGGGAAGTGCGGCGTGCCAAATGGGTTTGTTACGAGAAATGCCCATCCTCTGGAATGGAAATGTCAATTTTATAATGTCTGGCTGTAAAAAACGCGGTGTAATGCTTTAGTTTGATGGATAAGATTGATTTTTTTTTTTTAATACTGATTTTTAAAATTCTTATTCCTTTGCTATTTATTCCCTCTCTCTGACCTGCATAGTCCAAGAAGGCCAAGAGAAGAGTTCGATCTTTCCCAAGCTTATATCCCCACCTGCTTTTCTCTTGCAGAGGTGGCGGCCGGCAGTGCGGAGGGAGAGGGCTCAGCCGAGGAGCACCCAGTGGGTGAGCACACCCGTGGCTGATGGCTTTCCCCACACGTGGGGTGGCGTGGCCACCCTTGCACCCCCCGTTTCCCTGCACCGTGATAAAACCACAGAGTAGACACTGCTGCAACTCCCCAAGTCACTTGCTTTGCACTACTCGTTTCTCTTCAATTCACATTTGACAGAATAATTTATTAAACCCGTGTTGGGCGCATCCCAATGAGTCACATTACGGGTGGGACGCACCGGCTCCCACTGATGCTTCTCCCACCTCATGTGCATGCCATGGAAAACCATAATTTAACTGGGTGAACTGGGATGAGCCACGGGCGAAGCTCCAAAATAGTCCCAGGTTGTACGAAACATTAAAACTGAGCGTCTTGAGCACCGCAGGTGCCCTTCAGAAGGGCCTGGGTGACCCCTAAGTCTCCCCTGGCGCTGGGATTTGATGCTCTGATGCTCCTCTCTGCTTCAGTATTATTTCTGCTCTGTTACCTTATCTAACTCGCTGACCAACCTGATGCATTTCAGCTTTGATTTGTTTCCATTTACTTACCTGTGGCATCGCTTTATTTCATTCTGCCTGTGACTAACGGGGTGAAAATTTTGTTAAGGAGAGGACGGTTCCGAAAACAGCTCCAGCAGTAGCTCGGAAGAGGAATCAGGTGAGCATCGCTTATTTTCCTCCCTTTGGAAAACGTATGTTCGGTTTCAACCATCTGCTTTCCATGGGAATAGCCTCAGGGTTATTGTATGAGACTGATAATTCAGCGATTGCATGCTGAAAAGCAGAACGCTGTTTTTTCTGAGCGAACAATTTCCTACCCGCTCAGTTTGGAGCGGAACAATAACAGAGGAGCAGCAGCTAATGTGGCTTTAGCCTCGTAGACACAATACATGCAGATGTTTTTACGCCACAGTAGTTGTCCAAACACCAAGCGGCCATAAATCTGCTTAAAAGTTGGCAGCAAAAGTGGCAAAACAGGATGGACAGGAAAAGAATTAGAGGAAGCCTTTGCTGTTGATGAAAAGCCTGCGGGTTTGCGCTTCCACGGCTTACACCACCAGCAGTTTATTCTGGTTTCATGCATGATAGTCGCTAGTTAAATAATTACAAAGCTTTTTCTCGTCAGATGCGGAGGAGTTGGATGGAAGAAGGTCGGGTGAGTGCGCTTTTATTTTGCTCCTTATATCCGCCTGGCACGGCGCGAGGAAGCCGATGCAGAGAAGCGATGCACCAGGGGAGTGACATGCGGTGACCGGAGGGTGATGTAGCGCTGGCCCAGCCCTCACCTCCACATTTTTGGGTTAAACCCCTCGCTAGACAGCACACCCGGGGAAAGAGGGGTGCGTGGGGTGCGTGCACCGTGCCCCCCTTTGCAAACAGAGCCCCAGCGCAGGGAGATGCCGCTCGGAGCCGACGGTGGCCTCGGGTCACCGCAGCCACCCCAGGACCAAAATAGCATCACCGCGGGCAGGGAGCCAGCGCGCTGGCGGAGCTTTGCCTGACATTTTCCAGGCCGTTCGCTGCAGCCATACGTTTTTCTGCCTTCTCCCACGTCTGCCCGCCCAGGGAGGGTGTTGATGTCCCAGGGTGACTTTGGGATGGAGGGGGAGCGGGAGGCAGCAGCACAGCGCCTGTGTCCCCGCACGCCGGCCGCCAGCCCCTCCTCACGCCTCGTCACAACAGCTCTGCCGTGCGCGGCTTCTGCGAAATCCACCCCTCGGGCTAAAAGATTTTGCCCGACGCGTCAACTCTGCTTGCTTTCTGTCGGCTTGGGTTTACTGAGGAGGATTCAGGCACTTTTAAATCGTTTTAGGGGCAAATACGCTGCTTTAGCGCGGTGACCTGCTCGCTGGGAAGCGCTGTTGCCAGCTTCCGTGCCGGCTGGGCGAACTTTGTACTTGACACGATAAAACTCATCCCGGGGATGAATTTTTTATTTTTTATTTTTTCTAACCCCTGTGCAAATTTCCAGTAGTTTGGGAAAGTTATGAGATCTGACTGAGGTGGCATCCTGATGTTCAGCTTCATCCCCACGCCGGGCAAAGCTTGCCCACGCGGGTGTGCAAGTGCGCGTGCAAGAACTTAGTCTTAGCGACATTCTCCTTAGGTATTTTTTAACGTAAGCAAATTAAACTAGTGGGTTGTCATTGCTGAATAGGGGAGCAGAAACCTGCTGGAGGCTGAGCTATTTGCTGCAATCTTCTTTTTTTTTTTTTTTAGATGAAGAACAGGAGGAGAAGGAACCGCCACTGCACTGCAATGAATCAGGTAGGACCAGATCTCTCGAGAGTTGTTTTTTGGGTTTTTTTCTGGGCGTTTAATTACTTTGCTTTTAATGAGTTGATCTCTCTGTGTTCTCACTAGGAGCGAACTGTCTGCCCCTCTGTGAGCACTGCAGAAATGAAAACGTATGTTGATAAAAAAGACCCCAAACCCACATATTTCGCATGAGATAATCATGCAAATTGTAATTCTGCGCTCTCATCGCCTTTTTAAATACTTATTTTTCTTTTATCTACATAGGACCAGAAGGAGCAAGTGACCCCCAGGAGACTTTCTGGAGGACAACATGTGTATGTTTTATTTAATATAATGGGTTTACATTTATATTGTTCTGTTCAAGTTACTTTCCCATTCGATTTAAGTGGGAAGAAGACTGATTTGCTGCACAAATACATTTGGAGTTGTAATGGATGCCCCCAAATCCTTAAAAATAAACATTTTAGAGCAGCTTCTCATGCTGCCTCTAGATCCCCGTCCAAGAAAGCTCTTAGGACGGCTTCCTGCCTGCCTCGTCTCGCTGCGGTAATTAACATCAGGCTCATTTTGCTGTGCTTTTGGAGCCTGGACACACATGAGGGGTCTTGCCCTGCTTCACAGGAATCCTCCTCCTCCCCATTGGCACTGACCTTGCATTTTTCGTTGGACACCAGCCTTGTGCTCCCTTCTCTCCGGCTTGGAAGTTGTCGTGACTGTGTGACGTCGGGGCTGTCGGCGTACGATGTTGGCCCCGACGTCGATGGGAGCCGGGCTGAGCCCTTCGTGTAAAAGCAGCTGCTTCGTTTGCAGGAAACGTTATGCAAAACATTCGTTACAGCTATTTTGCATGCACCGGCTGGGTCCTCCCGGCCGGTTTTTAACACTCCAGCGACAGTTTAAATATAAAGACTGGAGAAAAAAAATTGTGGCTTCTGTGCTATTCAGATAAAATGCTCTGTGCTTGTTGGGAAGGGAGTTTCTCTGTTATCCTTTGCAAACCACATTTTTATGGTATTTACTGGATGGTGGAAACTAAACTCACCAGGTCACTCTTGCCCACGGCAGGGTGCAGCTGGACGCAGAGGGGACTTACCAGTGCAGCCTCACGGGCTTGATTTTTGAGGTCACGGAGGCCGTCAAGATCACGTATTCCCTCTTATCCTGGAGCAAATACGCCAACCTCGTGGAAAAGCCGTGGATTGTTGGCGGCCCCCTCTTCGACGTGCGCTGCGACTCGGCCCGCGCTCTCACCTCCATCCAGTTTCCCCACTCCCTCTGCCTGGGCGGTGAGTGGGGGCCACCGGCCCGGCGGGCGCGGGAGGTTGCCGGCTCCCCAGACGTGGGAGGTGCTGAGACGGCCCCGTGTCCCCCGCAGATCATGGCGCTGGCATGGCCTTCAAGGTTTTGCACATCAAAGGCAACGACGCGGCCATCGAGCCCTCCGCCGACTACTCGACCTCGCACGTGAAGTGGCTGGTGAGCTCGCTGTCACCGGTGGGACCCCTCATCCAGAGCCAGGAGCCCGTGCAGTACCACGGTGCCGTCATCCTCTACAAAGTCGTCGACCAGCATCCCTCCTTGTCCTTTCGGGTCTACGTGGCTACAAACAACGACTCCTTTATAAAGGTATGGCTCGCGTCATGGGGTGCAGGTCGGCATGACGTAGAAACATTGTCAGGGCTGGTTATGGGTTTGATGCGTGGAGGATGGGGTATGGGGAAGAGATGCTCTTCTCTCAGTGTTTGCATGCAATAATGATATGTATATATGTAATGAGACTTCCATATAGAAAAGGTCTGCCAAGGGAGATATGATACTTAAGCAGGTGTACCAGCCCGCGTGCTCATGCACAAGCTGCTAGAGAAAAGAGCTACATCAGAAACCTGTTTGCCACCAAAATCCACAGAGCTCAGGATTTATACCTGAAAGGGCTTCTTGTCTTCTCACCCATTCCCCACTACAATACGTAGGCGAACAGTAGGAGAGGACCACGAAGAATAACCTCTCTTTTTATTTGGGTTGCAGACAGAATCACAGCATGGTCAGGGTTGGCAGGGCCCTCTGGAGCTCCCCCATCCCACCCCCCGCCAGAGCAGGGGCACCTCCAGCAGTGGCACAGGACGGCGTCCAGGCGGGTTTGGGATGGCTCCAGAGGGGGAGACTCCACCACCTCTCTGGGCAGCCTGTGCCACTGCTCTGCCACGCTCACGGGAGAGAAGTCCCTCCTCATGTTTAGAGGGAACTTCCTATGGTCACGTTTGTGCCCGTTCCCTCTTGTCCTGTCACTGGGCACCACTGGAAACAGACCATTCCCATCCCCCCGGCACCCTCCCTTGAAGGATTGATCAGCATTGATAAGATCCCCCCTCAGTCTTCTCTTCTCCAGACTGAACAGCCCCACGTCCCTCAGCTGTTCCTCATCAGAAAGATGCTCCAGTCCCCTCATCATCTCCGTAGCCCTTTGCTGGACCCTTTCCTGCAGTTCCCTGTCCTTCTTGACCCGGGGAGCCCCGAACTGGACACAGTGCGCCAGATGTGGCCTCACCAGGGCAGAGTAAAGGAGGAGGATAACCTCGACACTCTTCTTGATGCCCCCCAGGATGCCATTGGCCTTCTTGGCCACCAGGGCATACTGCTGGCTCATGGGCATCCTGTTGGCCACCAGGACTCCCAGGTCCCTTTCCACAGAGCTGCTCTCCAGGAGGTCAGCCCCCAACCTGTACTGGTCCATGGGGTTATTCCTCCCCAGGTGCAGTACCCTACTCTTGCCCTTGTTGAATTTCATTAGGTTCCTCTCCACCCAACTCTCCAGCCTGGCCAGGTCACACCTCTTCTATCTAATTTCACCCACGTAGCACAACAGCTGCAGGAGTTTATTTGAGCTATTTTTGAGGATGGTTTTTGGTGCACAGCTTTCTGTAAAGTTTGCCCTGGGGAACAGGTCATGGCCATGTCATAGAGGTAGGGACGGAGAAGAGCCCGAGGAGCCCCATTAGCACAGGTTCTAAATGTTAATTCCTTTACTGAAGCGAGTAACCTTTAAATCGTATTTTTAAATTTTAGGATATCACAAGAGCCGTAAAACATTCCAATAAGAAATTCATTAAAATTGACAAGCCCCCTGTATGCCAAAAATTACTGCAGAAAGGCAAGAGGTATAGATTAGTTTGTGAGCCAGAAGCTGAAATAACTCCCGAGGTAAGTCCCGCACCCAACCCCCATTTCCTGCATTGCAGCTTCATTAGAAACATGGTACAAAATGGCTTTTCCTGCACTTTCCTGCCCTGTAAGGGCATTTTTCACATTCATTTGCCATTGCTGCAGAGAGCGTTTGCCTCTTAGAGCCCGAAAATTTTGGGATGAAATCCTGATGCTAAAGTCAACAGCAAAGCTCTGGGGAGATTGGCGTTGGGCTCAGATTTGTGCCAACAGCCGAATACCTCCTCTTATAGTTTACATTTTGGCTAAATATTTATTTCTAACGTTGTATAGGAAATTGAATTTGTTGATGGATCTCTCTTGAAACTAAAAAGTTACATTGAAGTCTATTTGGAGAAACCTGATGACTTCACCTTGTCTTTGGTTGAGCTGGAGTCTGATGCGACCGTATGGAAGGCAAAACTACGCGAGAGTGAGTCTTTGCTTTCCCCACCACTGGTTTGGTTTGGGCTGAAAAGCTGCAGGAGTTGGGGTATAATCCAACCCTTCGATACACTGAAATTCCTACTGGTCAAATGGCGAGGGTTGGAGCTGGAAGTGATAAAAGGTGAAGAGAAGAGCTCTGGGGGGTCGCATAGGGGATGTTGCAGTAACCGGCTGTGCGGGAGGATGCGCCACTTTAGTTTTTCTTACTGGGAATAATATGTAATTTTTATGGCGTGCTGTAGACGGTGTGCTGCGGCATGTTGGATAAAAGGGGGAAAATCATCTCATCGTATAAAATCTTAGCTCAGCAGCCGGAATCCACCCAGCAGCTTGGTTTTGTGCCCGCGACTTGTTGGCTGTAGGGCGTAGCGATGGCAATTCCTACCTCACCTTTGGTTTCCTCTACAAAACCCTTTACTAGGTGACTGGATACATTACGACCAGAACAAAAACGAGCAGAAAAGAAGCGCGGCCGGTAAGTCGATTTGAAGTGAAGTCGGTGATTGCTTGTTGTCTGTGTACCTCGCTGGCTGTGGTAGCTCGAGCCATGTGCCAGAAGTCACATCACCTCTCGCTTCCGTCTTAGGCGTCAAAAAACGGAAACCAGCCCTCAGCATTTTGGAAGAAGATGAGCTCTGTAGCAAAAAGCAAAAGACCGGCAATACTACAGGTAGAGCGTTTCCGTGTCGTTTGAAATAACAGGTTTGGGGTTGTTTGGGTTCTTTTTTTTGTATCCTGTGATTTGAATTTGAGCTCACTTTTTTAAAGAGCATGGGAGGGGATATAAGAGGGGAAAGCGCTGCTTTTGTAGATACAGGATTTGTACCTATGTTTGTGTGTTTTGGTCCACCTTCATTCATTTGGTAAATAAATGGGGAGAAGCAGCCAGGAAATTTGATTTGTAAGGGTCAGCCAAAAGGGTATTGTCTTCTCAGACTGGGCAATAGTGGCTGTTTTTGAAAGGAGTTTCCACTACATGTCCCAGACTTTGCATTTGGGATATCTCCTGAGCCGTAACCGGCTGAGATCTTCTGGGAAAAAAAAAAATAAAAAAAAAATCAGCTCCTGTTTATTGTTGACATGGGATGTCCTGAAGGACAGAAGAGCTTGGTGTCTGGGAGCTCCAACCCAGACATGACTCATTTACTAATAGTTACTTGGAAAAAATACAGGAGAAGTAATTGTAGTTCAATAAATAATGAGGAAAAGGAAATAATGAGCAAAAGTAACGATGTAGCCACCAGAGGGAGAGCTTCCATCCCTCAGAACCTCCGTTCTACATGTAGTGGGTGACAGGGGGAAGGAAAGCGGCTCAGTCTGTGGAACAGCACGGGCTGAGGCTTCGGAGCCATTGTAATTAAAGGAAAAATCAAATGTCCCGTTTTCTGGAGCAGCTGTAGGTCTCGGGAACAGCAGGTGTCTGAACTCGCTGGGAGGTAACGAGCGCTTCACGTGGCCTTAACATTACACACCTCAAAGTCTCTGGGTGGTTGGTCACCCTGACGTACCACGGGAGGTTCTGCTGGATGAATAACTGCTTATAAATGGGGGAAAAAAACCCTTTACAGCAGCCAGCGTGCAATCAGGTGGTGTCATCTTCATGAGCCGGGTGTCTTAGTCCTTCATCAGCTTTTCTCCAGCGCTTGGCTCTGCCCTCGCTGGGTAATCTGAATAATAATATCACCTTCATCGTACGTCCCCGGCCACATGCAGAACTGACAGCATCATTTAGTTACAAGTTTAATGAGAAGAGCAATGTTCAATTTGATTTTTGGTTCTGTGTCTTTTCAGATGGAACTGAAGCAAAAACCTTAACCGACCAACAGCTGATGGTGATCGCAAAGTTGTTTGGGAGGCAGTGGAGAGAAATTGCCATTGAGTGTCTTCAGATGGAAATGAAAGACATCGAGCAGATCCAGGCAACGGAAGATGAAGTTAATATGCAAAAATTTCTGGTGTTAAGCAAGTGGAGGGACAGAGAAAAAAGCAACGGTACTGCAGAAGCTTTGTACAGAAGTCTCCACGAAAAAGCGTCCTACGAGATCCTGCAAGCCCTAGAAGGTATCGCCATCTCACCGTATTTATTTAGTTACATCAGTGTGTTTCAGATGTATTTTAAGAATTCGCATCAGAGAGTACGTGTTTTACTGCATAGGTCAAAATTGTCTCCATTCTGATATTAATAATGACTTTATTTCTTGTGGCATTGTTATACTTCCCTTCAGAAACTGGTATAAAATGAATGATTTTTTTTTGCGGTGATGGTGTGGAGTGCTGGGTGCACCACCTGGCTGCCATGGCCAAACCAGTCAGTGTTATATACCCAAACCAATTCTTGGTTCTCTCAGGGAGACCAAAGAAGAGATATTTGGGGTTTTACTCTTATGTATTTTAGGAAGGCTTAATTAACAGCTTCCCCTGACGGATGACTTATCAATGCTGATCAATCCTTCAAGGGAGGTGCCAGGGGGATGGGAACAGTCTGTTTCCAGTGGTGCCCAGTGACAGGACAAGAGGGAACGGGCACAAACGTGACCATAGGAAGTTCCATCTCAACCTGAGGAGGGCTTTCTCTGCTGTGAGGGCGGCAGAGCACTGGCAGAGGCTGCCCAGAGAGGTGGGGGAGTCTCCCCCTCTGGAGCCATCCCAAACCCGCCTGGACGCCGTCCTGTGCCACTGCTGGAGGTGCCCCTGCTCTGGCAGGGGGTGGCACTGGGGGAGCTCCAGAGGGCCCTGCCAGCCCCCACCAGTCTGGGATTCTGGGATTCTGTGATGACTTAGTGGTTCGATGCCGCAGACCCGCACGTGGATGTATTTCCTCACAGCCCATGGGTGCTCCCACTGATTTCTGGGGGGGACCTTATGTTCGGTTCACCTTGTGCAAACCAAAGTTGTTCGGTGGACTGAGAACTCAGCCAGCCAAGGGGAACCTTTCCCAAAACCTAATTATATATATATATATATTATTTTTTTTTCTGGAACAGGCAAAACTTTGTTCTTTCTTAATTCTCCCTAAAAGCAACGTGGCTACTCGTGCTCCCTCGCTCACCCCACCCTCGCAGACCTGTCTGTGCCATAGCCACGTGCTGTGTGATAGGTTTTTAATACATTTATCATTCAATTTGATTATGGCAGTAACTTGTAGACATCAGATAACGTGAGCGTGTTCATGCGTGTTCCTTTCCTCAGGTTTCTCGGGGCGGTGCTGAGCTGGTGAAGCCTCAGCTAGAAGGAGCGCGGTGGGAGCGGAGCATCTCCGGCTGCTTCCCTGGGATCTCGCTGGGGTTCGGGAAGGCAGATGCGAGGCATCACCCCTCAGCGGACTGTTTTGGCAGCATCTTCCACAAGAAATGTGAATGAAATTTGGCGCGGCGATAAGCACACGTAAGGCTTTTGGGAGCAATTCCTCCCGTGGTGGATCCCGGAGTCGTGACTGGGAGCACTGGTTGAGCTTCACGGCCGGGGAAACCCAACGCTGCCACCCGGCTGTGTCTCGTCTGAGCCAGTCCTAAAAGATATGAACACTGGAAGAAACCAGTTTACCTTGTTCAGGTATAGGATCGTTATCCGGAAACGTTTTTATTTACATCAGGGAAAGATGGGGAGAAAAGTTCTGTGGAAACTTTCATCCCCTTAAAAAAAAAAAAAATAATATGGAATTGCCAAAATCATGAGGTACATTGTATTTCTCACAGGCGCCCAAGATCAGGGAATAATAATGCTAAACTTGCAGATAAATTCCTTTGCATAATCACTGTAAATATGCATAATTACTGTATATACTCGTGTACATTCAGTCCTTGTTAAGCTGTGGCTCTGTTTTCTAAAAACCCGAAGACTGGTTTCACGGGAGCACCACTATTAACTCCAGGCAGCTTTGAATTTTCCCTGGGAATTTCTTCTTCACTCTTTTCTGTATAGTCTGTCTCAATTTTTATGAGATAATTTTTTATGTTGTATAATTTTTTTTTGTACTATAAATTTTTTTATACTTTTTTTTTACTTGATTAATTTTAACTTGAATAGAATTAGGTGCTTAAATGAAAATGGGAGAAGCCAAAATCTCTGGCAGTCTGTTGGCAATGCATGTACTACAGAATTGGAAAAGATTTGGAAATAATGTTATTTGCAGAAGAGACCAGCGAAGCGATACAGGAGGTTATCTTGTTTCTAAAGACATGTGATTCTTTTGATCGTCTTCCTCTGCGTATGTTTATGAAAGGAAAAGCATACTTTTAAAAAATAAGGATTAAAAAGGAAAGATTTACACTATTTACATGTGATTTTTGATATTTTATTTTTTTTTAAATTTTAGCTATTGGATGAAATGTTGCAAGGTTGTGGTATGTTGTGGGCCATCTTTCCAACCGTCGTTGCTCCACTGCTACGTACATCCCGGGGGTGGCCGAGGGGAAGGGCTGCGTTGGTGCCTGGGACCTCGCGCGCTCTTCTGCCCATGGGGCTTTTAGGGGAAAAAAAAGCTGTGGGAGGCAGGGAGGCTCCTGTGGGACTTTCCATCCACCCCGAGGCAGAGCTGCCCTTGGCTCTTCTCTCTGGGACAAGTGAGGAGGAATTGCCATCAGGGGGACCTTTAAGATACTCAATAAAACCCAAAGTTCTAATAGAGAGAAGCAGAAATCAGTAAATCTAAGTTGAAAATAAGATGCTTATTTGTAATAATGAGGGTAACTGGATAGCGCAGCAGATGGTCAAAAGAGATGATCATAGAATCATAGAATGGTTTAGGTTGGAAAGGACTTTGAAGATCATCAAGTTCCAACCCCCACTGCCCTGGGCAGGGACACCTCCCACCAGCCCAGGTTGCCCAAGGCCACGTCCAGCCTGGCCTTGAACCCCTCCAGGGATGGGGCCTCAACAACCTCTCTGGGCAACCTGTGCCAGTGCCTTACAAGCCTCAAAGTGAAAAACTTCTTCCTAATGTTTAATCTAAACCTGCCCTCTTCCAGTTTGAAGCCATTCCCCCTCATCCTCTCACTCCATGCCTCAGTAAAAAGTCCTTCCCCAGCTCTCCTGTAGGCCCCCTTTAGGGATTGGAAGGCCGCAATAAGATCTCCCCGGAGCCTTCTCTTCTCCAGGCTGAACAGCCCCAACTCTCTCAGCCTCTCCTCATAGGAGAGGTGCTCCAGCCCTCAGATCATCCTCGTGGCCCTCCTCTGGACACGCTCCAGCAGGTCCGTGTCCTTCTTACGTTGGGGACTCCAGAGCTGGACGCAGTACGCCAGGTGGGGTCTCCCGAGAGTGGAGTAGAGGGGAAATGTCTTCAACCTTCAGGTTCTATAAATCAAAATAAGGAAGCTTTTTTTTTTTTTTAAAAAAAAGTGTATTCTCTTTCTGTAGTCTTCAGTTTGGCTTTGCTCAGTTCTTGTAGACAGAAGAAATTAAAACATTACAGTTGCATCATGGCACCGCAGCATGAGGTTGCTGTTTGGTTCAAGCGGTGGGAGTTTATAAGATTATAATGCTTATAAGATTATAATGTTTATGAGATTACATTATAATATTTATAAGATTACATGTTAAGGGCTGGTGTGGTGTGCAGGTAACGCCAACGCTTGGGGAAGAGGGGAGAGGGTGAGGATGGCAGCTGTCCCCGCGGACAGAGCGGGAGGTCCCACCAGCCCCTCGGCGTCAAAGGGAGGATGCTCGGGGGTCCCCAAAGAGATGGGAGGGCAGAGCTTAGAGAAACCAAGCAAGGGGAAGAGAGAAGAAGAGCAAAGGGCTGGCGATGAGGGGCAGCGGAGGCAGCACGGGACGTGGCCAAAGCCACCGCTCAGGCGAGGGCAGAGCCGTGGGTTGCTCTGAGTGCTCAGCCTGAGAGAAAAGCCACAAGAAATACGTCTGAGGTGAGTAAGTAGCGGGAAAGAGGATTTTAAAATACGATACCAGTGCTGAGGGTTACTATGGTACCCCTTTACAGCCCAGCCATATTCAAGGTATTTTAATAATAATAAATTAAATAGAAAATAAATATAATAAAATATAATAAATATAATAAACATAACAAATATAATAAATATTTATTTGTGTTATATCTTAAGGAAGAAAAGAAGTCACCACAATTTTTATGCAAACTCTAATTTTATTAGGCAATAAATAGAATAAATAAGGAATATCATCATAAGTGAGTTGATTATTATAAATACGTTTCAATTTCTGAATAAATAAAACAGTTAAGATAAATCACAGTTGAGTGTTCAGTGGTTTGAGAACATTTTGGTACTAGGATGTAGCTTATTTTCTAGAAATCTAGAAGTTGACTGTGATAGCTTAAAAGGCACTGACAACAGCTCGCTAAAAGGTGATGTAAAAGAAACCCTGTGAAATATTACGCGCTAGATTCCTTAAAAGCCCCTAACCACCTCACAGGGTATTGACCCTATTATTTTTTTCTCCAGAACATCCTTAGGTCAAATTTTACAGCCAAAGCGCTGGAGGGCTGGGCGCTTACATCGAACTCTCCGGAGAGGTCAGGTAGTTCATCACTCTGTTGATGGTGACCGTGCGGATTCGGAAGGCGTGAAGGAAGCTGCAGAGCCTCATCCGCGCCTTGAAGGAGGTGAGCCCCGCGCCCGCCGAGGGCTGCGCCACGCTGCTGCCGCCGCCGGTCTTCAGCGCCTGGGGAGAGGTAGGGACGTTAAAAACCATCGCTAGGAAGTTGCTAAAACAAAAACCTCTTTAGATTTTTTTTTTTCATCCCCTGAGCGATAAAGGAGAAGACTTGGAAGTGAGAATGTATTCTCATAAATGACAAATTTTAAATATTTAATTCTATAGTTGATAATTAATATCTAATAGTAAACCAGCTGTACTTTCCTTGAGATAAAAATGTCCATTCCAGCACAAAGGCTCTTTCTGCCTAGGAATAAAGATGCTCTTTTATTAATAAGCCTACAGCCAGCTGTGTCTAGCCACCCCTTAGACTGAGCTCATCTCCCAGTGGCCAGAACCTCCAGGCTATTGGGAGATAATGTGTCAATACAAAGGCAATTAACTTTTTTTTTTTTTTTAAAGAGCTTTTGTTAAACAAGTTTGTATTCCCTCCACTCACTAATAATATTTCTCAAAGCTCCGTACACCCTATGTCATATTTGGTATACCAGGTGTATTATATTTCGGTATTTGGAAGAGAAGTGGAGCTGTGTCCCTTTTACTCCATCTTTTATTCTATTTCTGGGTTCTCTGAGGAACAGGCAGCAAATCCTCTACCCCATCTCCTTGTGAGAGTGGAGCAGTGTGAAAGAAGGAGTGCTGCTACGGAGCCATACAGCCGAGTCCTGACACGTTGACCTTATCAGCAAGGCAAAAATATGAAGTGTGACACACAATTCATAAGAAACAAATCCCTTCTAGGCAACGCAGTAACAGGCGATTTTTGAATGTCCAAATTAAAGAAAGGTCACTATTTGACTGACTGCGGGATGGAACACACTGGGTTAAAAACTCTGGTTTAAGACAGAAATAATAGAAAGGAAGGAGGCGGAAATACTTACTTTCATCATTTCATCAATAGTTGCCAGCACCTTTTGATCATTGAAGTTCCTCAGCTCTGCCCTGTAGGCGTTCAGATCCTCATAGATGCCCTGCAGGCATTTACTCTGCAAAAGGCAGAATTATTAGGGCATGCGGGAATCTGTTGTTACATGCTTTAAACATACAACAGGCAAAAAAAGGGGTTCTTTTGGGAAACTTGCAATTTACCATATCAAAAGTAGATCTTTCCAGCGCTGGACAGTTTTCAGTCTGCAAATTAAAGAAGAAATGAGACACGGTGATTTTGTGGAAGTGTGAATTACACAGCTGTTGCACGAAAATATGATGCTGAAACTGGATGTATTTTTTTTTTTTTTTTACCCCTGGATCTTCAGATGTACAAGCTTTTATCGTGTTGATTTGATTCTTCGTGATATCTTCAAGATCAACCTCGTCAAGGGTACATTCAAATCCCAGGGTGCCGAGCTCCTGTGTTAAAAAGGGAATAAAAAAGGGTCATTGACTCAGCTTCACGGTACTGTGTATATATATGTAAATACACACAATTATAAGTGGGGTGTCACAGCTGTCTGCGCTTAGCTGAATCCTAGGAATGAGGCTGTGTGAGGACTGTGGTTAAGTACAAATCTAGAAAATAGATTAAATCTGAAATTCATGTGGCAGTTGTGTTTAAAGGGAGTAAGCTCAGGCTTTGCGCAGATTTGGTTTATATGTTGTTGCGAATTGCACTGCCTCCATTCCTTTAAATTATTCTCTCAGACATTGAATCTATTGAGAACTTTATGTCACTATTGTTTTAAATGTAAAGTTTCTCTTAGAAAGTGAAAAATAACTAATACCATCCGCACAGGCATTTCACAGTGCTCACTGACCCACTGCAAGCGTGGGAACAGTGCACCTATTTTGGGGGGGGGGGGGGTTGGGGTGCTCTGAAAACCA